AATTTATTTTTAAATGTAATTCTAATAGCAATTTAGTATGTTATTTAGCATTTCAAAATTATGCTTTACATATTGTTGCTGGAATCTTACTGCTGCCATCTTATTAGGATCTTATTTAGGATCCTTTGTGCAGAGCATAATATGAATAGAGGTGACAGGGAAGGTTGCACATGGGAGAAACTTACCTTGTCGGCTTTCTCCAAGAAACCTTTTTCTGACAGAAATCTTTTCTTTTTAACACAAACACCGACTTTTTCCCAACTTTAACCAAGAGATCCCTTTCTGGTAGAAAGCCCTCAAGGAAAATGTCTCCCAACTGCTTTGCACATCTTTTTAAATGAAAAATTGCAGTCAGATGCAGCTCCTGTATATGAAACCTTCAATTCTTCAATATTAAGTCAGAAAGAATGAAATAAATATTTATATGTAGAAAATGTGTAGAACATAGAATAGATGCTGTAATTTAAGCGTCAGCCATGCCAGTTTTATAGAATTTTTTTTAAAATTTATTTTATTTACAAATGCAAATTTTTTGTAAGGTGCCTTCGCACCTTTCATCCAATCACATGCCTCCTGCCTCTCTTAAGCAAGCTCAAGTTAGCTCGAGCAACAACGTCAAGATAAATCTGACTCTAAAACTATCTGCTGCTATAAATAAGCACATCACACCATCTCCTTTAATTTGCTTTTTTAAATAAGGCTGCATACCCTTTGGCTGATACCGGACACAACTGTCAACTTGTTACACTCTGTTTCCATCTTCAGTCTGACATCACTTCCACTCTTACTGATTTCTGTGGGGGAGGGCGATTCAATTATCCCTAACCAATAAGTAGAGACCCACATATCCATGTGAATCTAACATCATTTTAAGTCCACTGTGGGTCCTCACCATTACCACATCAGTGGGCGCAGCTTGCATATCATACGAGAGTTATCATAGCCGACAGGCAAGCCGGATCCACTTCCAAATTTCAGCAGCAAAAGGGGCTTTACCTATGTCACCAGGACCACATGACCCATACAAACAAGTCAAGGGAGACTGATAAGACAGAGAACTGATGAATGTCATTCAGGCTAACATAAAACCATATTACGTTTCTGTTCATGCAGGAAATTATTTGTCAACAAGGAAAGCTACCATTGCTTTTGCCCTGTAGGCCGACAATGATGTTTGTTTTGTCAGCTGACAGTTATGTGGTTGCTGCTGCTGGCTGACAGATTGTTAAGTGGTTCACCGGTGCACTGAAATGGAGCAGACCCACTGACGTGTAGTCATGCCATCATATCTGTTTTGCCGAGGTTTTAGGAGTGGAGCAGAGCAAAGCACAACAAACTCTGATGTTGAGGGATATAAAGAACATGTGTTAGCTTAGAACAGCTTGATAGCAGCATCTGTTTATCTTGCTCACCATTGTTGTTATTACTCCTCATTGGTGCCAGCGCACTGATTGACAACACTCGACAACATCTTGACAGTGGCATCAGTCCTGCCCATGGTGTTGACTGATTAATCATCGTTTCATGTCATGTGGAGTGGGTGGATTCAAAGGTCTGGACCCAGGCAGAATATCCTTCCTACATGGCTAGCTAATTAGCTAGGTGGAGTCGTGAACTTTCATTAATGAGCAATGTCTGAGTTGGCTAAACTCACTAAACCTGTTCTTCACTTTGATGCTAATAATCCAAGATCACAAACCAGCCTAGCAGGTTAGCCAGCTAGCAAGGTAGCATGAACAAGCTTGTTAAGATAAGGCAGAAAAACTAAAGAGGTTTAGTTACTTTGTCTGTGCACTATCTTTATTCACAGCAACAGAATGACTTAGTAAGCTAACAATGTTTTGGTACACTAAACACAACACTGAAATTTACACACCAAATTTGAAAAATAGATAATTCACGAGCTGGTACCTGAAAAACTCCTTTATATTATATACTGTCAGCAGTGGTCAGAAGTTTGAATTGGCTTTTGCTACTGTTCCATCTTTAGACAGGGTGTGGCCGAGGAGCTGCCAATTGCTGACTGCTCAGTGGACTTGATAACAGCCATGTCTGCCTTCCACTGGTTTGACCGACCACGCTTTCTCAAGGAGGCCCACAGAGTCCTGAAGCCTCGTGGCTGCTTGGCGCTGCTCAGCTACACAATTGACATGGAGCTCAGCTACCCTGACTGCTGCTCCAGTACACTCAACCAAGTCTGCAAAGAGGTGCTCACAACAGTATTCACCTGAGAGACGCTACTGTAAATGTTATAAGACTGTTTGGCAGTAAAGCACAGGTTACTGATAACATAAACAATGGCTCTGTTCTTTTAGAAAATTAGGTACACTAAAAAAAAGAAAAAAAGGGTACTTAAAGGGATAGTTCAGATATTTTGAAATGGGGTTTTATGAGTCAATTATTCAAAGACAGTATATTACATACAGTAGATGTCAGTCAGTATGCCCCCAGTTTAAGGAGAGGCAGGCTGGAATCTGACATGAAAGCTAAGCAATCTAGTGCGGTGGAAGGGTCAGCAACAAAACATACTTTAGTTCCACCTAAAACAGCATCAATATCAGTTTATATTTTACTATTTTTACTACTTTACCCTAATATCAGACAGTGATTTCAAATGGGAAAATTAAGCCATTACATCGCTCTCTTCAAAACCAGATTTAATTGAGAAAAACAGTGATTTAACATTGTTGAACAGAGGGGTTGCTGGTCTACCGCTGCTGGAAATCTTTATTTTGTTTGTGTAATTGTGTGACTTTGCATTTAAAAGGACTAGTTTATATCCACCAAAGTCACACAATAACATAAACAAAATAAAGGTCTGAGGCAGCAGTAGACTGGCAGCTCCTGTGTACAGCTAGCTAAAATGATTGTTTTTGTCAGCGGAGTCTGGTGGATTTGAAGAGAGCATAAATGGGAAACTGAAGTCTTTAACAGCTTCTCCATTGGAACTGGCTGTATTACAGCAAGGTAAAGCAAAGAAAATACTTTCAATATAGCATATACCTGGAGTCATATGTTTTTGAGGTAGGACTTTATTTGGTGGCTAAAATACTTTTTTTATGCTGACCCCTGTCCACACTTGTACATTGCTTAGCTTCCGTGTCGGACTTCAGCCTGCTTTTCCGCACTGTGGTTATGCCAACTGACATCTATGGTATGTAATACACTAATTATGGTTAAGTACCCCATACAACCCCACTTCAAAATCCAAATTATCTCTTTAATGGTATCTTTTTCACAGTGAGAAAAATGGCAGTAAACTTCTCACAAAAAATTAAAACACAGAGATTAAAACATTTCTTCACTCTTTTGAAACTAATGAATCGCTGACAGTCCCTCTTCAACATCAGACAAGCATTTCTGAGACAAATGCATATTTACACATTTACTGTATCTTCCCTTTGCCTCTGCTAAACTTCTGTACAAGAGTACCGGCATCACCACCTGCCTCCCCCTTATGATTCTGAAGATCGTTTTCAGTTCTGCTGATGTAGAAGACATGTATTGTCTCTCATCATCATCAGATGTGTCCTTAAATCACACTCTAGTGGATATTATGGCCAGAACATTTTCATGGTCATGGAATAAAAAATAAAAAAAGAACTACAGCACCATCTACTGGATTTTTTTTGCAAATTAATACCTTTGTTGAGTGGCACAGTTATCTCAGTTGCACACAGGTTGCATATATGGTTTTTTTTCAACAAAATGACAAAGAAATACAAAGAAAATAAAAATAAAGTGGATTATGAATATCAGACACCGTTAAAGTAGTAGTACAATAGGTGGCCTATTAAAGTGCTTTTTTACTGAAGCAAACACATCAGTGAGTAAAACATATAATGCTATGTCATACCATTATCATAGTGATGAACAATCTCATGACTCCCTGTCTCTTTGTTTTTATTAGTTGTATGCAGCCTTGCATCCTTACCGCAGTCCCCACCTGGGTGCCTACTCAATTGAGTTATACCGGGAGGCCTATAAATCCATCCCTTACCCTGACAAGGAGTGGTGAGATCATCTTTTTGTTTGGTTCAGCAAATTAAGTGTTTGGCCTAGATAAAAAATCATTCAGTAATATGACTGACATGTTCATAAATGTGCCATAGGTACATTCTGTTTCTGTGCTGTTTTTAATATCTATTACAGGCATGAGTGTGTGTGGGTGAAAAGGCCCATGCCTCTGTCCAGCTACATGGGGTTGGTGGAGTCTTTCTCGAGCTATCAGGCTCTGCTGAGAGAAGACCCGCAGAAAGCTGCCGCACTCTCCCAGGACATCTTGCAAAGGTAAATGCATGATGGTAGCATGCGTACAGCACAGTATACACATGCGTGCATATCACGCAAACTTGACAAAGCTAAAAATGCTAATAGGCAGTGCAGACCTATGATTTGATGATTTGTGTTTACATTTATTTATTTTCTGAAGCCAAACATGCTATGTGCTGTCACAACATGAAAATAATGTGTTCAGGATATTGTTGTCTGATGAAAAAATGTACATATTTTTAATGGATGTTTCATGGATCCTTAAAACTGACATATTTATCAGTGTCTAACAGTCACAATATACTACACCCACTGACAGAATGATGACACACTGTCTCCTCAGGTTGATGTCCGTAATGGGGGTCACCTCTGCGGAGACAGAGGTGGTGGTGGCTGTGAAATATTTTTACCTTCTGGCCTGCAAACCACAGGAAGCCTGACTCCTGCCAGCCCTCACAGCTTCAACAAAGTCATGAAGAAACTCGAGCTACCCCCCTAGTCTTTTGTCAACTACTCTCACCATGAGAGTGGTACTGATGTTCTCATCTAACTCTTGGCTAGAAAGCTTTCCTGGAAATATCACACTATTGTGTTAAAGGGAAGTTGTACAGATGATCAGCTGTTTCTAAAATAATAAATGCACAAATATACATTTACTCTTCAATATCTGCATTTCACATTTCTCTGTCTCTTCTTTTAAGGTGCTGACAATGTGCAGATTTATGTTTACATCATATTAGTGATTGGGTAAAGTGCACAGAAGATCTTTGTGTGAAGCTTCCATGAATACGGTAGCTACACTTGAGTACTGTAAATGAATTTCCCATTGTGAACAAAGTGCACCAGGGTAGTATTTGGAGAGGCTGTTTTACATAAAACCACTAGAGGGAGTCACTTGATCAAAAGTGATTATTGGCAGTTCATTCTTTTGGGATGCCAGATCATCATATTTACTGACATATACAATAAAATGTGAGCTGTATGCCAACACAAATGATATTGTATATCACAATCATGTCAGTCTGAGACATCTTGAGGCTTTCCAGTCAGCCTTATATGCTCTTTCTTCAGGTTGTTCTTCTGAGTCCTATGTTTTCTGTCAACTTCACACAGCTGAGTAAGTCTACATTTACAGAAGTCAGAGTGTTTGCCTGTATCAGTGTTTCATGACGCACTTTTGAAAGTAAACCATATTTAGTTACTGTGCTTTATCAACGTAGTATGTGTGTATGTGTGTGTGTGTGTGTGTGTGTGTATGTATGTGTGTGTGAATAAACATTACACAGGCTATACATAGAGGGTGGTGGGATAAGAAAAAGAGCCAGCTGCATGTGGCTCTGTAATCTAGCAGGGCAACACTGCTGCTAACCCCAATCTGTGTTTGCTGGAGGACGCCAGAGAGTGGAAATTGTGAAGTCGCTGTAAAACACTTCCAATGACCTACAGTGTCACTGTCTTTAGAGGGGAGCACCACTGACTGGATTCCACCTGTGATGTTGGCCCCAAACTGATCTGGAAATATGAGATATTAGTCATGGCTTTTGTGATGTTTTTAGAAATCCATCTCACATTGGGAAAAGAAGATGCTATATATGGTCTAAATTTTGTACTTTACTGCAACATCTTTTTATATTCTCAGATATTTTGTTCTCACACCTTTGTTATCAGTGTAGTCTATTGTCTTTTTATATGACATTGCAAACTACGTGGATTATGCTTGCCCTATGGGTTTTTATCGCAGCATTACAACCCCAGAACCCACATATTCTATCGTATATCTCATATTTTTAAAAAGAGAGTTGTAAATTTGGAGTTGAGATTCCTCAGCCTCTGTACTGGTCCCACAGACTTTGTCATGAGTTGTCTTTGTGATGCTCATAATTGCGTCCCCCTCTAGTTTTACATCTGCGTAGAAATACTCTCAGCAACCTTTGTCCAACACTGGGAGATCTTTTGTGACAGAATCCTGCACTTGTTTCCTTTATCGACATTCTCATACAAAGAAACATCTCAGATGCTCTTTCTTGTAAGGTTTGGCGTCCTTCTTAGGTTTTGAGCCTTAGTCCGTGCTGGAGACATTTGTTACAAATCCATTTTAGAGTTGGCAGTGCATAAGTGTTCATCCTTCAGTTGTGCTATTGGTAGCCGCTGGCATGACTTGAAGCCCTGGCCTGACTGTGACCCATGCAGGTGTTCTGAGTGGGCATGTTGATCCGGTCTGCACCTGGTAGCACAGGGGCGGCAAGTTGTCAGTTTTTATCTTTTGGCCTTGAGCTATTTCAGTTTCCAACTTTGGCCCTCCTCTGCTGTAAAGCCTTCATAGTCATACCACGCAATTCTACTGTAAGTGTGTGTATACGATTTCTTTGGTGGAATAAATGGTATCACTGATCAAAAAGAGTGCATTTGTGGTTGTAGCAGTCACAATGTTTCGTACTATCTGTTTGATTCTTGATTCATGGAGTGCAGTGCATCATATATTGGTGCAAAAGATTGAAAGTTATGCCCAAAATTATCCAGGAATGGATCGAACATTAAACTAGAAAAACCCTGAGATGAAGGTTAAGGTAGGAGAGACTGTTCAAGTAGCTGAGGATACAGTGAACTATTTAAGAGTGCATTAGATCTATCAGGGAAGGCCATGGATCTGAAAGCTGTCACTAAAATCTGCCAAAAGACTAAATTCTTGGCAAGAAAGTCAGGGTTGCTGGATCGATCAACACTGAAGACATTAGCCAGAGCATTCGTTCAATGCAACCTTGACTGTGCTGCCATCTTCTGGTTTAATAATACAACACAGGGCATGAAAAATAACACACTGCCTAAAGCAAGTGAATCAGGGTTGTATTAAAGTTTCTGTATGCAACATTCAGAACATTAATATAGCAGCAAACCACTATTTTGCTGTGTAAAGATATAATGGAGTAATGGCGTCCTGAGCAGAGAATAAAAAGACTCCATCTCTGTGTGTGTTTTAATCTGAGTTTCTCTGTGGTTTGTTGTAGTAAGCTGGTCTGGCCGCACATGCATGTTAATGCATCTGTGTATCCCCACAGCTAGCTCATCGCTGCCGCTTTGCACTGCTCTCATACTGCGGTTATGCTGATATCAGGATGGCATCATCGCTGAAGTGCAGTGCCCCACCCTCTGCTCCCCCTGGTTAACACTGATAGCTCTGTCAAAACTGATGTCATGTTTAGCACTGTTTATGGAGTTGGCATTGTTTGCTGCTAGCCACCAGCTCAGCCATCTCCATGTTGAGAACAGCGTGAGTGTGTCCTCGGCTTCTCAGTCAGATTCACCCCTCGCTCCTCCAAAGTGCCAGCCTCTTGCCCAAATATGGTCTCTTTTGGCTCTAAAAAAACAAAACAGCCGTGACAGCCGAAATGCTGAATCTGAGGCTTCAAAACGGGAATCCACCAGGGTCCAAAGTAAGTGTGCTGGTCCTTGTGGAAGTGGATACATTTGTTTGAGTGTCATGCCCCCGCGACATGACTCGTCCCACTGTCACGATTTAATCTATTCGTTCAGATAACATCTGGAGAGTCTAGAAAAGCTGCAAAATCATCCCCAATTTATCCCCATTCAAGTTAGTGGAGGGCTAAATCACAAGGCGCCTTGGACGGCGGAAGTCTCTATTACACCTGCTCTATAGGCCCAATGATGCGGAGGCAGCGCTGATGATCCAGGTAATTTCAAACTGTGGAAATAGAGCTTTTTGTGGTTTTATGCACCACTGAGCAACTTTTACAGGAATGAAAGGGTCCTGCCTTCAACACTGTGTCGAGGTCTCTTAATGTATCCATGGAGTCCAAAAACCAATGGGTGATGTCCCAGTAGCTATGTTCACTATTTCTACAGTCTATGGAATTTTATGATTGTTGATTAAATCTTTGTAACTATCACTGAGTACCAAGCAACAACTTCAGTGTCATTGTGTCACAGGCCTGAGCGGACAAACCGTCGAATGATGCAGAGAAAGTGATGGGGTAAAATAAATGGGTAAAATCTTCAAATGCACCCCAAGATAGTTTTCATTTGAAAGGTGATTCCTCACAAACGTAAAACGAGGGGATATTCATTTGAAAACAACATGGCACCATCTGGCAAATCTGAGCCTTCCGCTCTATCTGTTGTTGCAGCTGTATAAACACAAAGTTCCACTCGGATCTCTAACAAACAGTGTGCTTTTGTCTGGAAGATTATTGATGGAAAATATTACCTTCCCATCCTGTGAAAATCTCCATGCTGGGCTTCAAGTGATGTGTTTTTATTGAACTGTTTTGAACAGTGTTCATGATATGATTCTCCCTCTATAATACAGCATACAGTTTCTGTCACAGATTTCACTTGCAGACACACGACACACACAAAACCATTGGTCATCATCCTTACAAGTTTATATAGAGTATTTTAGGTATATGTAAAATTATAAAATGGATAACTCAGGAGTCACACACAAGCCAACGTCCGCCACAAAGTCAAGCAAACTACTTTTAAGACTCATATTTGAATATACAAATACATTTGCGTACTTATTTGTATAAGTCACGAGAAACCCCTCTCCTCCTCCCACATTCAAATCAAGGAGGATTTCACTGATCAAACAGAAGTTAGTGCTCGAGATTGGGTGTTCAGTGTGTCTCAGTGTGTGCTTTTGTGTCTGACAGAGAGAGTTTACATAATTTTTCTCTGACAGAAAAACACAGACCCTGCCTCTTTGCGTCAACGATGCCAGGCTGAGATAGTGACTCACACTTCCAGTCCACTCCTGTTGTGCTTAAATATTGCAGAGTGAACTGGACTGACTTCAAACCAAACGAGCTTCTCTGTCAAACAGTGAGCATGTCTGGTGTGCCTGCTGTACAGATGTTCCCATCTCTCCATTCAGGGTGCTGTGCGTGAACACCACTGGCTGGATTAGTGCTAAAAATAAAAGCCCTACTGGACCACTATGGACATTTTCATGTCAAACAAATGTTCTAATTAAACCATATTTCAGCTCAAGAACAATGCAGAACTGTATTATACTCGTGTCATATTCTTGCACCAACAAAGCAAATATTGTATGTTTTCCATATTTTTTTTTTCACTTTTTGGACTGTACTGTACTCCATAACAAGGGGCAATAAGAGATACAAAGTGGGGGACATTCCTCCTGTGATTCAGTACATGAGTCATGTGGTGACATGAGCTTTTTTGGGCCTCTGACTCTTGGTACTTGCATACATGGCACATTACATCAGATTCCCACATGCCTGAGGACAGTGCGACAATGAATTGCCACCAACTTCTCTTTTGTGCCCCACTGCTTACACACTCTATTTCTGAATCTCTCAGATAGGAAATTTACATCTACGTAATGGAACCCTGAGGGAAAAAGGATCTTAGGAGCCACTCATCTAGCAGCTGTCCTGTAATGTGTTAGTAGTGGCTGCATATGTCTTCTTCTGACATGACAAATTGAGGCTTGGCAGATGTTAATGTTAACCACTAAGCCAAGAGACTGAGGTTCTCAAAAGCAACTGCTGCAGTAATTTAACTCAAATTTCCTTTGACTTTTGGTAACAAAGTTATTTGCATAACTTAGTGTAAAACACAGCATTATGCTGATGTTTGTTCAGCCATCATTTTGGATCTTGTGCTCTGCTTGCAAGTAAGTAATTCATTTT